CCTTTTCACCTCACTGTTCTGCTGCACACAGGAATAATAGATTCCTCTGCTATGTAAGTGAAAACAAGAGCCAGGAGCTACTGTCCAAGATTTCTACCGAGCTGAGGGAGAGATCAAATTATGACAAACCTTTTCTTAATGGTTCAGTGGGGCAACCTCTGGGCAGCAGATAATGAACCTCTGCCAGCACTGTCTGTCAGAAACTGAACAAATCTCAGTATAGGATGTGAAAAAAAAGAAAGTTTTGAAAAGAATTTTTTTTCTTTTAAGACAGACACATGATGATAAAAAGCAGTAGTTGGAGATGCTGTATTCTCAGAATATATTTCTGTACAGAAGAGGAAATTTGAAGAAAATTCAAAAGCATTTTTTTTCTCTCACATAGCTGAATTTTTTTTTTATATTGTTTATGTAATTGTTCAGCTAAAGTGTTCCTTTGCAAAACAAATGCATGCCAGAACTTAACCTTAGCAAATTATCTGGTAGGTAATAATTAAACTGAAATTTCCATCAGTCTGGTGCTCTAATGGAATATTGAAAAACTTGGTTTGGGACTGATATTTGAAGTTAAATACCAAAGGGAAACACTGAAGCTGCATTCAGGCAGTTTTTTTCCTCAGTCTTCTCTAGCCAGTGGTTTTGCCCTTTCTTAAATGAGTTTTCCCAGGGGCACCATCATTTCAGCTGAGGGTCTCAGCTGAGCCCTGCAGGAGTCTTGTATACCAGATCTTGCTTCTGGAGGTGTATAGTGACATTTTGTCCAAAGACAATGGTATGAGCCAAATATATAAAACTACCTGAAATACACCCACCTCAAACTTTCCGGTTCTGAAAGCCTTGGTACAATTCAGCACTTTGAAAAACCAATTCTTATGAGTAGTAATGACTTTGTATTACAAAGCATTGTTAAGCAGAACTTTAATACACTCTTTTAGAAAGATGTGATACCTACATAGAGAGAGACACCAAAAATGTGTTTTGTTAAATACTTAGAATTCACAACACTAACTGAAAAAAATTTATTGATTGCATGAGCTATGTTTGATAGTTAGAGTTTTGAATTATCCTGTAAAGGATCATCAGAATTAATAATTACAGCTGCAACTATGGGTGATGAACTATAATTAGGCACTTTCTAAATAATTAAAGTAGTCTACATAAAAGCAAACCAAGCCATGCTACTGGATGCAGCAATATTTTTTTTTTTAAAGGGTGTCACATCCCATAGTTTTCTATGAATCCACATTTATTTTCTGTTCTTCAGTGCTCTGTTATTTGATTTGTACCTTGGGTATATAAATGGAAAGTCAGTTATGTGTACTTATTTCATACTGTTCATTTTTTCTCTCCTAGCTACTATTAGAGACCAAAAATTTTCAGACAAGGCATGCAGAATGCCAAGGAGTCAAAACACTGACTTTTATATGACTTGCCCTTAAGATCCAAGATCACTTCAGAACCTCTCACAAGTGTTAAGTCTTCCCACTCACTGAAGACAGGCCACAATATCAGCTTACTGGACAGCCAGTGAACCCCATGTAATTGCCAAATGCTTTAAAAAGGTCCCCATGAATTTTTTAACCACAGCCCAAACTCATTTCCTTGAAAATACAAATATATCCTCTAACTTGTCCATTGCTTCCGCATTCCTTCAAGGCTGACTCTTAAAAGGACTCTTGAGTTCTATTTTCCAGTCAAACCGGCTTCACAGACAAATGTGTTTCATAAATCAGAGAAAGATATGGTTTGGAAGGAACTTTAAAGATCACCTAGGTCTCCCTGCCCCTGTCATGGGCACCTTACACTTGATCTGGTTGCTCAGGTCATGAACACCTCCAGGGATAGGGAGTCCATGACCTCCCTGGGCAACCTGTTCCAGTACCTCACCACCCTCCCAGTAAAAAATTTCTTTTAATATCCAATCTAAACCTACTCTCCTTCAGCTGAAGGCCATTCCCCCTTATTTTGTCACTACATCCTCCTGTGAAAAGTTCCTCTCCAGCTTTCTTGTAGTCCCCTTTAAGTATTGGAACATGCTATAAGATCTTCCTCAAGCCTTCTCTACTCCAGGATGAAAAACCCCAACTCTCTCAGCCTGTGTTCATAGGAGAGGTGCTTTAGCCCTGTGAACACCTTAGTGGTTCTCCTTGGACTCATTCAGGCCTGTGTTGAGGACCCCAGAGCTGGATGCAGAACTCCAGGTGGGATCTCACAATAGCAGAACAGAGGGGCAGAATCTGCACCCCTTCCCTGCTGCCCACGCTCTTTCCCATGTAGCCCAGGATGGAGTTGGCCTCCAGTAAGAAATTTTCCAGTTTACAGAAGATTAATCTAAGTGAACATTAAGCACTGGAACAAGTAAATGTTAAAAAAACAAATCTAATTTGAAATTTCCCACAGACAATGAAAGACCATTCTAACAGTCTGAAGGGCACTGTCTGTCAAGAATTTTCTAAACCCACATAATGAAATGAGAAGTGGCAGCTCCTTAATAAACGTTTCTTTCATCGAGCAGTTTTGTACAGTGAGGATATTCCATGAGACACACAGACTAAGACTTTGTGGTGTACTCCCTTTCAACACCTTTTCCTTAGCTTCCTTATAAAAATTTGTATGGATACATCTTTAAGCAATCTGTCTATTACTGGTTTATATCTTGCCAAAACTCCAGATTTTTGTATTGCAGATCTTGTTATATTGCAACACATTTACTTACAAAATGAAGTAAAATGGAAAGATAAAACAGAAGATACAGTGAAGGAAAAGAGATGTTAAAAAAAGCAGTGATAGCTACAAAAAATTATCCAATATATGATAGGTAAATGAATGCAATATGTCACGTACAGGGCTCAGCATACCTATGTGTGTGTTTAACTTGCTCTGTGCCTCTGATACTTAACTGAGTTTTCAGCTGAAACTATGTAGGCAGCTTGACTCTGGCTCTGACTTGGAAGGTTCTGGAACTTAATTTCTCTTGGGAAGGAGCAGAAAACGTACCATCAGCTTTCACTGGTCCAAAAATAACCTCATCTACCAAAGGCATGAGTGGTTAACTTCAACACAGAGAAAATTTATTTTTAAACACTTGTATAAGCCAGTTGGACGTTCCACATAGTGTTTATTAAACAGAAAAATATCTAAAAGTTGGTAATTTGGGAAAGAAAATGAGATGTTTATTTGGAAGAGTAAAGTGAGTTTACAAGATGAAGCATAGACTCTCACGTTCTCATCAAGCAAAACGGCAGAAACTGCAACAGTCATATTATGAAAGACACAAGTGCTTCCACCACTGGAATTTAGAAGCCACAAAACCTGACAAGCTCCAATTAGAGCCTAGCCACTGCTTAAGCAGAAAGCCACAGGGTTAGTTTAGTACTTCCAACCTAAATCTTTGCTCTGGGAAAAGGATTTTCTAGTAAAGTACAATATTGGGCTGGACAAATAACAGCATGACATGCTTGAAAACTGTCCTGCCTTTCTTTGAGAGCTTACACAGTGTAGAAGAGCACATGTACCTTTTGGGTTTCGGAAAGTTGGTGAGGACTAAACTGCAGACTCACAAAAGTTGTAGGGCTGTGAAGGGCAACTAGAGAGCACAACACTCTCCCCATGAGCTGCCCAGACTGCAACTCCATTAAATTAAAGTTCTAGGACTTCTACTGAACTGGCTCAGCATTACCAGCAGTCAGGTTTTCTCCCATAACATGCCAATATCACTTCCCTGGTTTCCAAGTTTCTCAGCTGTTAGAATTGCTGTTTCTGTCTTGCTTTTCCTAGACTTCAACTCTGCTCCAAAGGCTAGATATGTTCCAAAGATCTGGTCTCCTCCATGTTCAATAAGTAATCAAGTTTCACCCAAGGTTTCCTTCTAGCAACCTTTTTTTGAGACTTCATTTGATGACACCAAGAACTGAAGAATAGCCCATTTCCTGTGATGCCTTATTCGGACGACGAACAAGTGCCCAAACTTCAATGTTTTAGCTCAGATTAGGAGTGAGCTTTTGAAGACTTCCCAATCATCACTACTCAAAACACATCAGTCTGCATTTCAGAAAGGCCTTGAAGGGTATATACAGTCATCCTCTGTCTGAAGCTGTACTAGAAAATGTACTCTACTAGTGGGTCTTCAAGACCTGAAACCTTAGTTTCATCTTTGATCTTGCCATTGCTCATGAGAACTATCACTTGAGGCAGTTCAGAAAAACACATACCAGAAGGGTTTTCTAAATCATCATTTTCCTCTGGCATTTAAAGACACTGCCACAGATTAATTTTTATATGTGGAAAAATTAATATTAGATCCAGTATTTGGATAAGTCTTTTCATTATCGTGAGATAGACTGAAGAACACACCAAAACCATAATGCGCCGTGAAGAGGGATGTGATATTTAATCAGAGATACCTTAGCTTCTTATAAATGCATTTTTCAAGATACATATAGTGATTTATTGATTAAAACCAATCCTAAACAAAACAGTAGTAATTCACAGGAGAATAAAAAAATTCAGGTAGTTTTCTATAAGTATGCCATTTACAATATTTCTGTTTTCCCTTCAGTGAATGATTCAAACTACTCATTTTCCTAAATCCTTCAGGATACTGTATGAATATGATGATACCAAGAGATATAATGGTTACTGAAGCAATGTGCTTCTCACACTAAGAAGGAAAAAAAAACACTAAAAAGAATCTGTGTTTGTTTTTTCTCATTTCCTGTCTCTTATAATCCTTAATAAACGTGAAAGACACTAGTCCCTTTTAAGACTGAGGTTTTTCTGTTTAGATATGAAAGCTAGATTTTTACGTTGCAGCTCCACAGTAACCATAGTTATTGGTTTATCTTCACTTAATGCATGATCCAGTAAAATAGTCTGCACATGAAAATCAAATCAGACCGGCAGGAACACCCAGAAATCAGACAAAGGTAGTAAGAGATACTAACAGAGCAAACCCTAAATTGAAATAAGAATGGAAATAATCAAGAACTGAAATAGAAAATAATGATTTCTTCTTCCCCCCTCACAGGGAAAATTATGATCAGAAAAGGATACTAAATGCCTAGTTCACCACTGCAGAGTTTCTGCACTGCTTATGGCTCGGTGCTGTAGTTTTCCATGTTGGATGAGCAGTCTCAGAGCAGCCACTCAGGTCTGCAGGTGCTCTTTACAAGGAGGACTATGAGTCAGCCAGCTACAAAGCAGAGCCAGGAGACGTGACTGTTTATAAAGTCCTGGGAGAGCTGGCACTGGTCCTCTGGGCTCCTCTTAGCTGCAGGTTCTGAGTCAGCTGAAAGAACTACAAAAAAGTCACCTGCTTCTCTACCCCTCCTTTTCTAATCTCCAACATGCAAGATCCTGCAGTAGCACAGTCCAATGAAAGTCTAATGAGCGCAGAGAAAATTCACTTTGTACTGATGTTGCTGTTTTGTGCAATCAGCAGACCCTCTACAAGAGAAATTGATTTAGCTCCTCAGGTCTAAATTACAAGATGTTGGGCAAAGAGGAACAGCTCACAGGAGACTGCAGCCAGGCTCCCAACATATATTCTCTCTAGTGATATTTAGTACAACACAATCTGATGGACCCTGACTCCTTTTTACTCCATCTATTTTCTCTGCTGATTAAGGGTATTGGTCAGACACATTACAAAGAAATTGTATTCATGACTTCCCCGTGATGTTTCAAGGAAATCAAAACAAGAAATATTTAGTAAAAGGTAATTTATTTCACTGTACCATTAGATGGGAAATTTAGCTCACCTGTGTTCCCAAGGCAAGATGCAACTTTCTTTAGAAGCCCCAACATGCAAGTCAGCAGTGACTCAAAGAACAAAGCCTAAAAAACTGAAGAAAGCAGAGGGAATAAGGAAAAGACTTTCAGTGCTAAAATATTTAACATTTCAGTTATATTCAGGGAGATAAGTGATTGAACTAAGGACTGAAATACAACAGAAACTCTTCAGGAGAGGACAATTTTATCCAGAAAGAGCTCTTGAAAGATGAGGATTTGATATTTTTCTCTTTTGCCATTACGAATATAATTTAGGGAAATTGAATGGATTTTATATAAATAAATATTGTTGCAACTAATAAAACAATGATTTTATTCTGCTTAATATATACTGACATTTTCATGGCACAAAACATCATGACATCTAATATCCACATGTACTGATATTTTCAGATGGCAGGTCCATACACATCAAGATATTATTGATTAATTTTAGTACCCCAGGGAAAGTGGCCAATAAACCTTTTAGGGAAAATACAGAATGTTTTCTAGAAAAGCAAAATTAAGTTACAGAGCAGATCACCTGTTCTTCATTTTCATGTGTACCCCATGTTTACTTCCCTCTCTACTGGGCACAGATACATATTTTATTTATCTGAAAACCATCATTGCAATAGAGCCTTAAAGATAAGAGTTCTTAATTAAATTTCCAGTGATAACATTTTAAAAACTATAATTCATGCTTTTCATGATTCCGAGTTCAAACAACTCATTGGAGGAAAGAGTGACAAATACAGATGCAGGATCCATGCCTTTCCTCATGCTGAGCTAGGTGTGGGAGATGTGGGAAGTAAGGAACAAGGAATTGATGCATTTTCAAAGATTCTGAGGTTAGCTATTCTTGCCCTACAACACCTCTCATTTGTCAGTCTAAAAGGGGCAATTTTAGACATCATAGCAAATGAACAAGCCATCTCCAGCCCTGAGGTACAAACAGATTTCATTACATTTGACTGTAGTTGCTCTGTAGCTGGATAAAATATTTCAAGCCATTTCTGAACACAGTCCATTTCTAAGCAGCATGATAAATTTAACTGGTAACACTTAGTTCATTCATTCTTCATAAATACATAACAGATGTGATTTTAGGATATGAGTGGAAAATTTCACAGAGGTGTCCCATCTTATCAATCTTCTCATCACAGAACCTTCCATAACCCTCACAGCAAGAAAATAAACCACAAAAGGAAACCACAACTAGAGTTGCACTAGAAGAAATATTACACACAAAACTCAAACTATAATGACAGAGCAGATGATCATTTGTCTGTTTCATCTATCCAACTGTCTTGTTTTGCTCTCAGATCTGCTAATATCAGTAAATTTACATACATTTTTGGAACATGGGTGTTTTTTTTCAGTGCTCTTGTTATGTTGTGAACTAACTGCCCGGATGTTAAACATTTCACTTGTGGAATTTCCATGTCATTAGAGTGGAAACACAAAGGCAACAGTATCTGCCTTCCACCTTTTTACACTGCTAATATGAAGGTTAAATACAGACATTTCAAGGCAGACTGTTGGAGATCAGACAGCTACAGAAGCTAAACTAGGTAGCACTGCAGACTTTGCTTTTTCCCTGGTATTTTCATTTATTTTTTTCATTAGAAACTGAAGGACAGGATTCATTAAATACGAATAAGATAATCAACAAAACATCTGAAAGAGGAATAATTTTCTCTATGTAATCTCTAATCTTCCTGTCACATTACTAACACTAAAGAAACTGCTCCACCTCTCCCCCCATCATGAAATGAATATGCCATCTCTAAAGAATGCACAAACAGATTTGGGACAATTATATTAGTTTTAACTTTTGTGAATTTTAAATTAATATTCTGGACAACAAATTTTCAACCATATAACTATTATATCAAATTTTATTTTTTAAGATTCCTTCCAATTTTCCAGAGCTTGCTAATGGAGAAGCAACATTGGATGGTCAGGAGAAAATCCACAGAAACGTTTTTTAAAGGACGAAAGGAGCACCCAATGTCATAGAATTGTAGAATGGACTGATGGAAGAAACCTTAATCATCTGGTTCATAACACCCTGCCATGAGCAGGGACACCTTCCACTAGACCATGTTGTTCACAGCTCCATCCACACAGCCTCAAACACTTCCTGGGGTAGGGCATTCACAATTTCCATCCTTGGAACCAGGTTAATAATTTTAATTTTCTACTTAAAAAGAAAAAAATAAATAAATTATAATTTCCAAAGCAGAATAAAGGAGTTGAAGAGCAAACTGAACTGAGAGGTTTCAACACAATTGTATCATCTGATACAATTTTCTCACCTCAAAGGGGCAGAAACAGACATGGCTACAGTGGGATCTCAAGATGATGGAAGGAGGGAAATGCTTAGTGGGATTGCAGACGAGGAGAATGAAAGATCAAAGTACAATATTGAGAGCATCAAGAACCACATCATTCTGGAAAGAAATACACTAATAACACAAGAAAGTATTACATGTATTATTCCAGGTCAATTAACTCCCTAGCTGAGATACAACACTTGTACAGAGCACCAAATGAGAGCTGGTTTTTTATTTTTTAACTACCACTAAGTGAAAATCTAAGGTATGCAAGTCAAAGTGCAGCAAGCATCTTACCATTTGCATTTTCAAACACAAAGAATAGTATTGGTGATGGAGAGAGACGGGGACAGCTGAGTGGTGATCAGAATCCAAATTTACTGTGGGCTACAATAGAATAGTTGAGTAGCTGTTTTCTTAAGCAGTGCTTTTGATTGATGGGCTACATGGAATAACAGTCTATTCTCTGTCTCTGGAATTAGATAAGTTTATTTTGCTGTTACTATGATTTCTGGCCCTCACAGCTGAAGTCTGCAAGTGATGCTTGCCCAAAATCAAGTGTTTCTGTCCTTCTCCTGAAATCTCTCATCCCACAGTCTTGTGAAATTTTATTGTTCCCTCCTGTTTTTAAAAAATACAATGGCAAAATATTGATTTTTATATATGTATACACATATCCATCTAATAAGAGACATGACAAAGTGTAAACACAGAAAAATCAAAATACTGTTTCTTCATCTAAATCCTTTTTCTGCTACACTATGACATAGTCCACCACTCAGCAAAACATAAAATGCAACGAGCATTTCTACTGAGTCAAAATGAAATTCTATTTAGAGATTTAAACACCCAGTCTGTAGAACACTTCTAAGCTGCCACAAGTACAGCTAGCTGCATAGAAGCCAAAATTTTCATAGTCCTGGTCTTCAGCTATCCTGTCTCAGCCAAAAAATTACACATATGACCTTGAATAAATATTCAGATAGAAATTTCCATTTCAGAAGAATAATTCTTTTTGGTAATTGATCTCATGCACATTTATGGCTGACATACAAAATTAATTGCAAACCATTTACACACACTACTCCATTTTCATTTGGAAAAAAAATAGAGATATGGTGATAATGGACTATTTCAAGATGCAGAATGGGGACTAGGGGAGGAACATTTAGTTTATTTGTACTTAAAAACACTTTAAAGCTATATAACGTGTAAAACCCAAGACCTTTATAATGGTATCATGTCTTTGATGCAGGGGATAGCATAAATGGTACTTGTCAGAGACTTCTAACTGCCTACACTTTCTTCAAAACATTTTATTGTATCAGTTTTTTACAATTAACATTCCTATGGTTGTGGGGGCACCTAGTGGTAAAATAAACATGTTTATATATAAAGTAGCTGATCATAAATTTTCAGAAATCTGTTTTATTTTCAGAGGACTATCCTTTTGCTTGAATAAAAAAAAACCACTTTTTGTGTAAGATTAACTTCAACATAAAGTAACATTAAGAAATATCAGCTGGACACACCACTCTGGCAATTTCACTGATTCTCCCTCTCTTCCCTCCTCCTGTCTGATATGTGCCTGTAGCAACTGAAAAATAGACTTTGAAAATAAAATCCCTTTTTATCCTGTATGCTCCGTCAGAATTCATTACTCTCTGAGCAGCTTCTCTTAGACATTTCACATGAGAAGGGTTTAATGTTTAATGCTAAACTTACTTATTTGGAGATATTTCATGCTACACTGGATTTTGATTTAGCAGAGGGATATGACTGAGCAGTGAAATCACAATAAAAGCAGAATGTAGCAATTCAGCATACAGTAGGATCACAATGCAAATATGATTCCTATTACTGGTTCTGATATGTTTGTTATGATGGCACTGGGTATCCCCAGTCAGCAGGAGAGAATATCTATATTGAATCCAGCTCAAGCCTGTTTCTATCTAAGTTCATTTTGTTGCCTGTCTGTTTTTATAGTCTATTGAGCAACCTAAACCCTTCCTCCGTGCTAGTCAGGCTAGCCTGGGAAAACACTCACATTCTTCATTAACTTGAGAGATAAATTAAATAAAATAAGCAATTAAACAACCAGCTGATCCTCTCAACAGGTACAGCCAGCTGATCTAAACCAAAGCTCACCCTCCAGTCCTCCTCATGCTGACCTAAACTCAGCTTTCTTTGAAATAGCTGTTGTCACTCCTTGCTTTCTTCCCTGAGCTACATGAGCCAATTGCCTGCACCCACCTCGTCTGAGCAGCCTTCCACAGCGGCATGACTGTTGTTCAGCCACACCACCATCTCTTTTTCCACCAGGAGAAGATTTCCATTTATGTCAAAGTTGTGCTCAGAGACTATGAGGAGATCAGGAGATCACCTGAAAAAACAGTTTTCTCTCTTTCATCCCAAGACATGCAATATAATATATGCAACAGGTACAAAGATCAGAAGTTCTTCTTTGCATAAGTTGCCTAAAATTGGATTCCTTGGCTATAACAAAAAGAAAAGCAAAAAAAAAAAATAAAAACAAACCAAGATATTTAAAAATATTTTCTCATTTCAAAAGTCAAAAATTTTGTATGAACAGTGAATGCCTCTCTGGAGGTTTTATGCTTTGTTTCATCTATTCTAATTCCACATGCAGCTTTCCAATAAGCTTTCTCAGTTGTCTTCCTTCCCAGGCTTTCCCCCTGATCAGTTGAGCAGATTCATCTGTCAAATTGTTTTTCTTTTCCTCATTTCTGTCCAAGGCCCATATGAAGAAAAACAGACAAGCAGTCTTGGCTAAGCCTTCGTTCTACTGAGCAAAATCCCAGTGTTCCCAGAGATGCACCATACAAGGATGTTTTACTTGCTCCTCACAGAATCCTTGGCACTAAGTTTTGTCCTACACTTTATTTGATGGCACATTCTAGATGTCAAAGATGCTGACATTCTGATTATTAATATTTTAATATTCAGAAGCCTCATGCTCTATCCTTTTAATTACATTACTAATTCACAAATGCCAGCTTTAACTAGGTTTTTGGGTTGGGTTGGTTCAGGTTGTTTTGGGGGTTTTTTGCTTGGTTTTGTGTTTGTTGTTTGTTTTTTTTTACCTAGATATATCCAGCAGCAAGCAATATCTCCACACCATCTCCACTGGGCTGTGCAGATCCTGAACAGAGTCTTCAAGGCTGGTAATAGGCAGTGCAGCTTCTCTCTAGAGAATTGGAGAAACAAAGAAAGAAAGAAGATATTTCCATGGGGCTGCAACAGAGTTTTATCACACTTAGGAACAGAAAAGACAAGGTAAATTTACAGTCTAAATCCAAATATTTATCTATCTTTTGATCCTGGTGCCTCATGGGGTCCACCTCCAGAAGTCAGATCCTTCCCCAGGACCCAGTAACCACTTCCCACAGAGGTTCTGACTGTTCAACCTGCTCCTCCAAAGAAAGAAAGACCACTGATCCTACTGTCCTCAACAACCTCACATAGCTCAGTCACAAACATCATTTTGACTAACAACTCTTATCAGCTGGATCTCATTATCAGCTATAGAGAAAGTTCACTGAACTCATTATAGATAGCAGTAGGAATCACTTGTTCATCTTTTTGTCAGGATACAGAAATGCTGTGTAACTCTATTGCTGTTTTATAAGTTTGTCTCTCCATAAAACTGCACATTTTGACATGTCTCACTTAAGCTAGCAATTTATTTTTTTTATGTATGGGAATGGATTATTTTGTTCAAAATATTCTATCAAAACTATCTCTCACCATTACACTGAAATACTACAAAGTCAGAATAAAAGTAGGCACAGAGTGAAGTGCCCTCTGAATCTCTGGTATATGGTCTTGCAACTTTATCTAGGACTTTTCTAGAAAAACTAACTGCATTCAAGACTGCTTAAAATCACATCAGTCTTTTCCCACCCACATTAGGAGAGCATAAGTGAGTAAACCTATTTACATAAACAAACACAGGAAGAGGTTAGTCAATTAGACAACCTGATTTTCAGTGTTTATACAGCTGTAAGGCAGTAATTTCCATGCATGGATGAAATAACTAAGATATGCTCAGCCAGTGAGGGATGGCCATTAATGTACAAAATACAAATATTTGTATTTTGCTGGGGGACTTTTAACTGCTTATGAGCTAAAAATTTATTAGGTTTTGGAATTTCTTATTAATATAATTTCTCTTTTGAAGCCATGCTTACAATTACTATGCTTTTACCCAGCTCTACACTGATGAGGCTAGCTACTAATACATGGGACATATCTGATCACATCAAGACAACAGGAATAGCCTGAGTCATTCTGGACCTTCACCAATACACGTTCCCAGTGCAAACTGCCCATTTTGTGGATCTTTGTTCTCACCTGGGCACAGGAAGGCTTCATCCCTTTACAAAGGTCTTTCTAAGGCTGTCCACACCTTTCTTCCATAGCCTTGAGAGGCAGGCACACAGCAAGCCTTCAGATATTTGCCTCCAGAAAATTTGCCAGCTGCTCTTCCAAAGTGTAGGGCTGCTACCAAGGAATCATCCTGTGCACCCAGGAGATATATACTCCCTGAGCTCTCTTGCATGTCAAGGAGTTCTTCCTTCTGTCCCTGCTGAGCAGAGCTGCTGTGCAGACTGCCTGGCTAGCAATGGTTTCATCATCACTCAGCTACTGCTTTCTGTCTTTGTCTGAACAAGGTTAATATTTCTCCTTAGAACGTTCATTAACTCAGGAGAGCCTAGTTCCAGCTATCACTCCTTACCTAAACATTTGTCAAAAATTGATCACCGCTTTGTCACTTAAATTAATTGTCATTAAACAGTTAACATAATTAACAGAGATGTAAGCAATCTACAGCCTGACCATGAGCTGACATTTCAGTTTCTAAACCTTCCTTTCCAGGCTGCGTTAAGAGGTGCCCACAATCAGCCTGCCCCACTTTGAAATGTCTTTCAGACTAATGTGGTTCACTCAGCAAGGTTTGGCTATGTGATCTTAAAATAAGTGTTGAGAGTTTTCTCAGGATTTATGTCAACCAGGGGCCAGCCATCAGTTTCTGGCTTCCCTTCTCCCACCAATACAGACCTTTCCTAGTCAGGAAATACCTGAAATCCACCAACCTACAAGTCTGTATGCCTGTGTGACACACTGTCTTCTTAAAGAGCCTTTTCCTTCTGGCACTGTGCATGTATAGAAAATTCCTGGATGCAAGATGCAGAAAGTGAATTTGCAGAGAGGAGTATTATTTCAGGGAAGAAATAGTGAATGTGCACTAAGATCCCATTGATTTAAGCACATTGTGAGAGAATAGGTAAGGCCACAGAAAACTGCTTGCTACAGTGCAACCTAGGAGCAGAAAATGAAAACTCCTAACAAAGGATGCTATTTCAAAGAAGCTTTTGTAAATGCAGACCAATGGAAGATTACAAAACAGACACAGATGTGTTTTACTAGAAGAGGATGAAAAATATCAGGTTGGCCAAAGCACATGCTCACATCCAGAGAGTAGTCTGCAGTCATCCATTAAAAAGATGTGTATATATCAGACAGAAGAAGAACATGCTTCCAATTTCTTGCTTATAATCTGTTTCTGTCAAAAAACACATACTTGGGTTGAAATGAAGACAAAAGGGCAAGAGTTGCCCAAATCTGAAATCACCTGACATGTTCCCAGGGCACATTCTATAAAATTAATGTGTAGTTTTCTGTTGACTGAAGCTTCCACTGAATTTTCCTGCCCCAGTGAAAGGGAAGTAATCTGTTACAAGAAAGTAAAGACAAAATACTGATTGATCCCTCGGTCCTTAATTTACTGATGTTCAACTCCATCCCTACATGCTTTCCTAACTGTAGTACTGAGAACTATTAAAAAGTATACAGTTAAACTTGCATATGTGCATGTAGTATTTGATTTATGCCATGGTTTAAAACATTTAAAGTCTAATTGAAATTATATTATTCATAGGTTCTAAAACGGAAACACATAACCTTAATTTGAAAGTGCTTTAGGAAAAAAAGAAGTAATTTTAATAATAGATTTTTCAGTAATTTAGGTGAAGAGAGAAGCAGGAAGTGAGGAAAAATAAGTGGTTATTTTTTTCCAGTAAACATTACATTTTTGAGGAACAATAAACCAACCAGGTTTAAGTTATATTTTTTAACTGTAAAAAATAGATTACTTCATTTTGTTTTCAACTGATTTTGAAATTGATTGATTTTCCAAGTCTTGCAGTTTGTTTTGTTCAAATATGTAATTTCATCATGAAGCAAAACTTATTAACAAAGCCCTGGATCCTGAAAAGATTTATGTACATGCTTACGGTTACAATATTTGGCTATTCTCATTGACTTTGATAAACCTTTTCAATATCCAGGATTTTCCGTGTCTACACACGATATATATTTCAGTGTGTGAATGTAAACTTCCTTTTCTTACATTTTTTAATTTTCTGCCTCTCTCCAATGTTAATCTCTCCAGTTCTGAAGCTGGATAAGTCATTACATCACTTTTTTCCTGAAACATTTCCAGAAGAACTAAAATAAACCAGACAAATAACGGATGAACAAAAGATAATTTCTCTAACACTGACAATGATCCAAGAATACTGCTAGCAATACCTGTAGGATTAAACAATGCCTTAGTGAGTAAATACAGCAACATAATCATTCTGTCTCAGACCTGAAGCTGCAGCCTCCTTAGTTCAAAACAACTACAAAACAAAACACATAGATTTTTGTCCTGATTTTTGCAGCAAGATATGGATCTATGGTAGATAAATATATCCGTTATTTATACCTTATAAAATCCATAGATTTTTAGTTCAATTTAAGTCAAATCAATTAAGACTGGATTACAAGAGAATTGGATTTCAAGAAATGTTTGAATAATGCTCTTAGGCACATGGTGTGATTCTTGGGGTGTCCTGTGCAGAGCCAGAAGCTGAACTTGGTGATTCTGATGGGTCCCTTCCAATTCTGTAAATTCAGTGTCTCTACATTTCTTGGTCTGACATGCAAACTCCTTATATTTTTATGTATAGTACACAGAACTTCTCAAATGGAACAGACAAGACAGACAAAAGGTTCTCTCTTTAAATGTACAAGATCAAACTTATAAAGGTTTAACAGCAAGACTATGAATTCTTTTTAAATATTTCCTTAATGAAGTGCCATTTAAAGACATTTTACCCCTTCTGTATTGAGAAGTCTGCTTTTGTCTAGTTTGTAAGAGGTCAGTACAAAAATGCAAGCAGTTGAAAATAAATTCAGATTTTATAATACAGTACCTCTGGTATTCTTGCTATTCAAGGTATTAATCTGTATCTTACTTTTTCATCACTCAAACACCTTCTGCATAACAATAACACCACCCTAAAGATCCACACAAATAGTTGGATGTCTTCTACTTAGATAAAGATGTTTTCTTCTTTTGTTATTTTCATACTGTATTTTATTTAATTCACAATGAGCGATTTCTGGTGCATATTATCTTCCTAGAGAAAGAAGGGATACTATAACTGAGTCATTCCTGCCAGTGAAAACTAAGCTCTATTCACTGTTTTATTAATGTTCTTTGTGAGTTACTTACAGATGAGGAAGGTCAGGCAGAACCATGGATTGCTGTAACTACCCTCAGCCAGTGCAGTGGATCTCATGACAGTATCAGTTAAACTAATTTTTAGTAATTTGCACAGCTGCAGTGAGCTTTGGTCGACTTCAGGCTACAATATAATAACTAGATGTTTATTTCAATCACTAGACCCACATACACGTTGTGAGAGCTGAGCATAAACTACAGCTGAGGCAGAGCAGCTGAAATTCACTCCAATGAGATGAGCAGTCATAGTAGCAGTAGTCACAGTCCTATCAGTAGTTCTCCAGAGCTTTGATTTATATGTGTCTAATTATTTTCAGTAGATATTCAGGCTGATATATAGCAAATTGAAATGAACTGACTTGTCTGCTCTGTAAGTTGCCCTTTATATGCTTCGAACATGGTCTGGTGCCAGTTAGAAAGCACTACTACTCATGCCAAAACAGGAAGCCATCCAAAACAACCAGTGTCATCAGTATCATAGTTTGGGCACCTTGGACATAATGAAGAGACTTAACCTTTAAGAAGTTATGATTACTACTAGCATCTGCAGGCAAGAGACAAGAGTCATAGTTCTTCATTTACTATATGACAAATTGAAATGGTGTAAATTCTTCTGAAGTAATAAATTATTACTTCTCTTTTTTTCTTTTTTTTTTTCCAAATTGCATTGCAGTGACTTAGTAATATAAGAAATCATTCTGCTTCAGCATGCTGGTTTATAACTCTCTATTTTATCTGGAGTATTGTATCTGCAAAGTAATTGTAGGGAGAATAAAGGAGGAATAAAGGGCCAGAGGAGGTTTCTTTTTATTTACCCTCAGTAGCATTTGACAATTCACTGGGCTGCTTTTTTATGTACTAGACTTTCCAGACCACGTCAAGGCAGCTTGCAAACATCTCATTTTTTATTTAGGCAATGTATGCTTAATGACTTTAGTGTGTGAAGTTTCATCTGAATTAAATTTTTGTGTAATGCCAGCCTTGGTTTCATTTCATTTGGAATCTGGCAGAAATGAAGTCACAGAGGGGAAAACAACAAAACCCCACATTCTTGGTTTATGTCCTTTCTCCCAGCCACATTTGAAGCAGACTGTGAATTAATTATGAGTCCATATGAAGCCAATAACTTGGTGACTGAGGTTTTTCACATGTTCTGATGTTTTATTACAATATTATACTCTGATTGTATTTCCCCTGTTTTTGCTTACATTCAGAGTTGCAAAGATCTATGTGCATGTGTTTCTCAGAGGTTTTTTAAACAGATGAGTTATCTGAATGTAGTTAATTTTAGTGCTAAATATGTTCATTTGGTACACATTCAAGAAGTTGCTCTGAAAAAAACAAAATTAATAATACCAAAGGGGAATACTGAATAGCTTATTTGGATCTAAAAATTGTTATTCCCCTGCAGGTCCAAATGAGCTATGGGAATTAATACTTTTTTAATCTCTGGAAATAAATAGAGACCTGTGACATTAATTATGGATATGTCTTTATGGGAAGTATGGATCAAAAGAGAGTATATACAAATAATTATACAGCAAATGTATTCAATACCATCCCAGAGACAAATGTTAATCACGCTGTAACTTCACAAGACAGCAGAAAATAGTTAGAAATTTATTGTTAAAAAAGAACACTAATCATTGAACAAATTATCACAGTGCTACAATTTTTGTTATAGTACAGAGAAATACTGGAGGCTCGTGACCAAAAACTCAGATGCAGGTTATGTGCTTAGTATACAAGTCTATTTGCTCAGGAGGGTTTCAACAATCTTATAAGTAACTTTCTCTTTCAAAACATCTTCTAAAACAGGTAGCAACAACATTATAAAATCTAACAAAAATAATATTGAGTTTACTTGGGATATCATCATGTTTCTGCAAACCCAGACACTACTGATATTCTCTGCCTTGTCTCACACAGTCAGTTCTGCACAGAGCTTCAGCTGATAGAGCACAGCTCTGTGGCCAAGGCTTACGTCTGACAATACTGTTGTTAAGATTAAAGAAAGTTAGGGAGCTAAAGTCGGATAATAAAATTAAAAAAGGAGTGTACTTATTGAGATAGTGAGTGGCTCAAGGATTCAGAAGGAAGAATACTCACATGAAAAGATATAAAGCTCCTTAGCTGTGTTTCTCCTGGTTTTATTGTGCATAGTAAAAGACTTCAAACAAAAGTGACCTTGTGAGTTAGATTATAGATAAGATCCTACCACAAGGCCATGCCGGATTTCAAGACTTATTGAGCATTTGGGTTTGATGTAAGCTAAATGTAAAATATTATATCCTGTCATACTGAGGAGGTAAGACTACATGATTTAGACATCCTATTTGAGCTTAATTTCATCAATTTAAGTTCTCTTAAGGAAAAGCAAGGATAGGATATCTTTGATTTTTAAAGAGAAGCAATAAAAACATTAGAATGCCACAATGCTAAAAGCAGCATCTTGCCCAGCCTGTCGAGGACCATGCAGCAGAGGACAGAGAACAGCTTTGTAAATGGATGCTGTGAAAAGACAGGATTGTGCTTAATGGTGGTATGAAAGAAATTACACTGAAAAATGCCTTAACTGTCTGAAACAAAGAGGGTTTATTATCCAAGTGTAAAATATGCCTGTATATTATTTTCCAAAAGCCAAAACAACATGCTGGAAGATCCAGCTCACAACAATAACAGCCTAGACAATGTTAAGGTGGCCAAATATGGCATGATTGAAAGGAGCAAAATATTTCATATTTTGTCAAAAAATAACCTTCCTGGTTGACATATTTGATTTTGTCAAGAAGCTTAAGGAATGCAAATGAGCCACCTACAAATTCAAACTCTCAAACCTTTGAACTCAAAAAGTGACTTAGAAGAAAGCTAGAAAGCTTATGAAGGAATTTTCAGAAGTGAAGAAATGGGACAGCAAGGATTCAGTAATTTATGAAATTTAAATTTAAATAGTACTGAGATAAAAGGGTAAAATCTTGAGGGGAGAAAAAAATAAAAGCAGAGAAAAAGACAGCAATTCTACATGAAGAATTAGGCAATACAATAGGGCCTATACCTCCCCCACTAGAGAGGCAAGTGCTGGATTAGGAGATTCTCTTCATTGGACATGATGAGTATATTAGTACTCAGCCTCCTAGCCAATTAATCTTGGCTACCCAGCTCTCTCTCTTGTGGAACCACCAATAAGCAATTGCTGAAAATCCTCTTTGTGACTGACAAAGGATCCCAAAAGTACTCAAAGTGAATGGAGAACTCTAAACAGCTATTACTCACCTGCTATTACTTATTTTCTCACAAGCTAAGTTAATTCTGCATTATTTTAAAAAAAAATTAACAAAGCTGTATTGTCCACATCCTTTTTTTTCAGGTGTTGGGAAGTAATCTGAGAAGAAGCCAGTAGCACACTATAACTACATTATTCTCCTACAGCAGTCAGGCTTTGAAAATTAATTGATCAGCTCTTTCCGGTCCATTCAGAGAGTGCTGAAAAATGTTCATGGATTACTTTCTACGTAATATTCTGCTTTCTGAAATTTAAACAGAATCATGTATTATGCTGAAGAACAGTCTGACTTCAGCACCAAAGCTCCATGGAGTAAATAGAGATCAGATGTATTTGTTGTTTCCCACCAGCTCTAGACTTGGGCTCCAACTAAACTTGTAATTTTTTTTTGGTTACTTTTTGAAGTTCTTAAGTCCCAAGTCCCCAACTTGGTTGGGTATAAAGTGGTATAAAGACACCACTTATTTATAAAGATATAAAATACATGGTATAAAGATACTCATCAGCTTTCATAATCTCCTCCAAGACCATGCACCCTCTAGTTTAGGATTTTGAGTGTGTGAAATTACTGACATGCAGACTGGCTTACTGGGGCCTTGATGGGGAGCTGGTCCTTTGCAGGGTCAGGAGCTGGACTCAAGGATCCTTGTGGCTCCCTTCCAGCTTGGCATAATCTGAGATTATGTGATTCTTTTGGATGTAGAACAACTGACAGGTTTTGCTAATTTCAAGGACAAGCTATCAGCATTACGACAAATATATAAAGTACACATTAAAATACACATAGATAAAAATATCTTGTGTAGTATTATTAAAAGTCTTCTTACTTCAAAGTACAAAACCTTGAAGGTAAAATTAACAAACAAACAAAACCCTGAAAAAAAAAGCACAAACCCAGAAAAAAAAACCTCTTTATTTCATAAAATCTTAAATATTTATTACAAATTGGTAAGATTTAATCACATGGGGAATCAATAATTAATTAGTAGAAATGTTTCAGAGATCTTATAAATATCAAAGGCTTTTAATAATTACTTTACAAATCCAGATCAGCAGAAATCATGAAGGTTTTAAACATTGTGGGAGGTGGAAACAAGAAGTTGAGAACTATAAAAATTATCAAAAATTAATCAAATACTTTTTGATCTTATGCTTTAACCTTGTTACAGTGGAGATTAATACTAAAAGCATGATCCAACATGGATCTTTTGATGCTCACTGTAATTAACAACAAAGCTATTCCTAGCTCTAATGATCCAGAACCAGACCCATAGAAATGCCACAATATTGATCATCTACAGTTCAAGTATCAATAACAGCATTTCAAAGCTGTTGCCATAAGAAAGTAAACTTGCTTTTGAGTCTTACAAGAAAGCACATTAATTGTTTCCAAAGTACCATTTTATGTGAACAAATCAGTAAAACTCTGGAGAACTAAGTTCAACTCTAAAACACAAAAACCTTCCCACTCCATCCCAGGAGACTGAAAAAAGCCACAATAAACCTCACCATGCATTCTTAAAGAAAAGCCCACTGTTTCAACTTTAGAGTCAATCTTGACCACTTCTAACTATGAAAAAAAAAAGGCCTACAAAGGCATTTAAATTAGACAGTATTACTGATTCCCTAGTTCTGACAGCTGTCCTACAAGCACAGTATATCTATGAAGATTTTTTCCTCCTATGCAAAAATAGGATTTTTCCTTTTAATTCAACTAATGTATAAATGCTGTGAAATTTTCTGTTGC